TGGCATTGTCCCGCTTGTCGAGGCGCATGACGACAGCAGGGCTCGGTGGACAGCGAACCTGACGGTGTCGAGCGACGCTGAGGACATCCGCAGTTGCGGACCACCGCCGGCGGAGCTAATGTTCAAGGGGGGATCTGTCATCGCTGAGGGCTTGGCCGCACATGCCCGCAGTCGCGGATATCCGTCTTGGGTGAGCACGGCGACGTCCGAGAAGGGGTCCTACCGCGCAGACGACGTTGTATCATTCTTGCAGCGGCACTTGCGGGCCTGGCCCGACGACCCGCAGTTGCGGGGAAAGTGGCGCATCCTCATGGCCGACGACCATTCCCCGCACAAAGCAGACGCTGTGCGGAGACTCGCCTGGCAGCGTGGCTACGTGCTGATCATTCACGGCGGGGGGACGACCGCAGTTGCGCAGCCCGTGGACACGGACTTGAACCAGCACGTGAAGCGCCGGTACATTGCCCTCGAGACCAAAGCGCTGGTGCAGCAAATGGCGTTGGGGAAGCACGTGCCGCAGTTGCGGCGTTCCGATTGCGCCGGCTTGATGCTGTCAGTGTTGGAGAATGTGCAGTTGCACTTGGACGCCGCGAAAGGTTTCCTGAAAGTGGGAATTCGAGCGCCATTCGACAAGTCAGGAGATCTCGAGATTTGCCGAGAGGCGGCGGAACTCTGGGAAGCAGGGGGGCTGCGAGCAAAAGTGGACACCGCAGTCGCGGAGGTGAGGGAAGAATGCGAGCAGAAACGTTTGAAATTGTCCTACAATGACGTGCTGCGTCTCATACACGAATACGAGAAACACGACGCCACAGATTCCGTGTTGGAGAAGCTCGGCGACGAAGCGCTAGGCCAGGAGCCAGGCCACGAGGAGGGCGATGAGGTGGGCGGGGAGGAGGAGGAGGAGGTGCACGAGGAGCACGAGGAGGACGAAGAGCAAGAGGAGGCCTCGTGGGCCGAGGCTCTTGCGGAACAGTGCGATGCCGCAGTTGCGGCACCTGGGCCTCGAGGATCCTCGGTATCCATGGACTGCGTGGTCGACGCAGAGGCGGCCGAGCAGGTGGCAGTGGCGACGTCCTTGGCAGAAACGCTCCGCGAGGCGGAAGATATGCTGCGCCAAGTGGGCATGGATAAACTAGCGCAGGATTGCCGACAGCAACGACACAAACAAAAGAAGCGGTTGAGAGAGCTGGCGCGGGAGGACAACGAGGTCCTACGAGCGTTGACTGCCCAGCGAGACCACGAAGCCGCAGTGGTGGCGAAAAAGCGGCGCCTGGCTCTGGAAGCGAACGACAGGACGATGGCGTTGCACGATCTCAAGAAGCAGATTCGAGAGGCCGAGGCCGCCTTGAGGGCAAAGAAGGAGGCCGCAGTTGCGGTGGAAACGGCTTTGGCTAACAAACACGCCCTAGCGCAATGGAATCCCGAGGAGTTCAAGATCAAGAAAAACAGGATGGCAGCTCTGGATCGCCTGGCTCGCGGAAAAGGCGTCCTCTCAGACGAGCAGAGGGGGGAGTGGGCATGGTTCAAGACGCATTGGGACGAGGAGATGTGCAAGCAGCACAAGGAGCAATGGCCGCTCACGTTTGCTGGGTGGCTGCAAAAAGTCGCGAACGAAGCGGCGTCTGGGAACCGTTCGGCGCTGTCGCAGTTCGTGCATTCGGAAACAGTGAGAACCCTGGGAGGGCAAATGGCGCTGGTAATCCCAGCCCTAGCGTGATGCAGGCCGCAGTTGCGGACACACAGGAAGTCCAGAGGGAAGTTGTTTTTCCAAGCGGCTCCCGCGCGGGCAGGAGATGAGGCAAAACCGCAGTTGCGGTCTTCCTGCTGCTGTGAAAATAATCCTATCACAGTCCCTTGCAATCGTCGCCCTCCTTCTGCTTCTCCGCCGGTCCATTTGTTGTTCTTTCGGTTCCTTTGAGTCCTCGCCCTCCTTCTGCCACTCCTCGAATCCTCTTTGTCTCCTCCCTCCATCCGACCCCATGCCCATTCACGATCCATTTCCGTAGCCACCGTGGCTCGAGGTGGCGCACGCGAAGACGCATGCATGTGGCCGCCCGCGCGCCCGAGCGCATCCTCAGGGAGTATGGACCGTGGACCTCGATTCGCCAGAACGGTGTTCATCCACAACGCTGAGGAGGAGGAGGGAGGCAAAGTCGAGGAAGCCGCAGTTGCGGATGATGACGACGACCAGCGGACGCAAGATGGCGACAGCACCGTCGCGTCCTCGGCTGCCTCCGCTGACGAGGCTGAGTCCCGGGGAGGTGCGGGAGCCGCAGTTGCGGGTGCGGGAGCCGCAGTTGCGGCAGCACATGACTCCTACATGCCGAGAGTGTTGTCGTCGCGGGGACCCTGGAAACGGGTGCCCATCATCGAGACAAGCAATCTGTCGGAAAAAACAAAGAGCTCTTGTCGACGCATGGGAGGAGAAAACGGAGTTCGAAGCGGGACGGGTCGGCTTCTACGTGGCCAACTTCGAAGGGACTGCAGCTAGACCCACGCAACGCGCGGACGAGTGGGCGCAGCTCCGCGCGAACCCTGCCCAGATCATCGCCCTCTGCGAGTGCGACGACGAGACCTGCGCGTTACTCAGTGGGGAGCACGACGCGAGGGACAGTGCAGCCGCAGTTGCGGACGATAGGTTTCGGAGTCGGACTCAATACAACTACCTGTGCGTTAAGGGCGGCGAGCCATCAGGGACCCTCCTTGTTGGCATGAGGGACCGCAGTGGCGGCCACATTGAACACGTAGACTTTGCGAGACTCTTCCACAAGCAGGAGAAGTCCAAAAAGAAGAAGAAGAAGAAACAGTCCGCAGTTGCGGAGGCTCCTGCGCCAAAGCTGCACAACAAGTACTCCAGGGCGATGGTGGTGCGCGTCCACCTGGACCAGGCCGTGACCCATTTGGGGGGCTCCTTCAACGTCATGGCGGTGCACGTCCACCACAGCTTGGCCAACCCAGACTGGGGCGTCACGAAGCTCCATGAGTTCTACAACTGGTTCGTCGCCTACGTCAGGGAATGGGACGTGAAGGTCTGCATGGGGGACTTCAACATGTGCATGTTCCAGCTTGTGTCCTGGTGCCGCAATTGCGGCCTGACTGTGGACGTCGCCGCGAGGACCCCCTGGAAGACAGCAGGCGGCCAGCCCAGGGCAGACAGCATGGCGATTTTGTTCATAAGCTGTCCTGGGCAGTACAAGCTTCACATGGCCTGAGTGTTCTGCACGACCGTGAGGGCGGATTCTTGACGACCCAGCATGATCCGTCTTTCCCTGTCTTCGACTACACGAATGGCCCTGGGAAGAATGGGGGGCGGGGGGAGGGGTATGGGGGGGGGGGGGGGCGGAGGGGGGGGGGGGGGGGGGTGGGGGGGGGGGGGGGGGGGGGGGGGGGGGGGGGGGGGGGGGGGGGGGGGCGGGGCGTGGGGGAGGGGGGGGGGGGGGGGGGGGGGGGGGGGGGGGGGAGGGGGGGGGCGGGGGGGGGGGGGGGGGGGGGGGGGGGGGGGGGGGGGGGGGGGGGGGGGGGGGGGGGGGGGGGGGGGGGGGGGGGGGGGGTTGGGGGGGGGGGGGGGGGGGGGCGGGGGGGGGGCGGGCGGGGGGGGGGGGGGGGGGGGGGGGGGGGGGGGGGGGGGGGGGCGGGGCAGGGGGGGGGGGGGGGGGGGGGGTGGGGGGGGATGCTGAGCCCGTTGAAAACAAGATGCGCGCCTTCCTGACGCCATCTGGCGAATCCATGACCGCAGTTGCGGAGTTCGAGCAAAGGATGGCGCGCAGGGAACGCGACGATTGGGTGCGCCATCCCTTCAGAGTGAAGCAGGGCAACCTCGACGACAAGATATGGCATGGCGCCTTCGGCAGGGCGAGGCACGGAGCGCACTTCCCTCTGGTGGCTTTCACGCACAATACGTGACGCAGGTCACCTGAAAGACTCGCCGCGAGGTTGGAACGCAGGAAGGGCGGCAGGAAGGGCGGCAAGAAGGGCGGCAAGAAGGGCAGCTACGCGGACACCGCAGTTGCGGGGATGGGCGTCCGACCCCAGATGGGAACCGCAGTTGCGGGGAGAGACGCTGGGGCTGAGCGAGCTGGGAACACGCCACCGCCGCAAGCTGCCAACGGCGACGATGCGACCCCTTCTTGTGCCGCAGTGGCGGCTGGGTCCTGGGACGCCAGCGGCAGCGGCGCATGGGAGGCGCGCAGTCCCGCCACGAGATGGCAGGGCTGGACCTGGTGGGACTGGAGCTCGAGCGAATGGGGCGCTGATGGCGCGCAGTGGTGGCCCTCTGATCATGCCGCAGTTGCGGACAATGCCCCTGAGGGCTCGCCTCCTCAGCGTGAAGTCGAGTGGGGCTCGAGCGGGCGACCTGCCGAGCGCCCTCCGTGGAGCTTCGAGGGGCAGCGTTGGTGATGGCCGCAGTTGCGGGCAAGTGGAGCATGATGTTGATTGCCGCAGTTGCGGACAGTGTACGCTGGAAAAATCATCATCATCATCAATCATAATCATCATCATATCATCATATCATACGTTCAAAGCAGTGCCGGGGCACTGCTTTGAACGCGTTCAAAGCAGTGCCGGGGCACTGCTTTCGATCGTCGCCTCGTCGCAGTTATAAGGGCTATTGGATTATGTTGGGTGTTGGGGGTCCGCAAGCGGTCTGGCGACAGACCGTGCGATGATCTCGAAATCTTAGGGACCTCACCGCACGGTCCGTCAGCGAATGGTGTTGCGACTTGGATACAAACCGGTCCGCTGACCTGGGATCACATCTGATTCGCCAAACTGTGACCGGGGTCACAGCACCGTTTCGGGACCCCGAAGTCTGGTCTCTTTGGGCCAAGCTCGTCCATCGCAATTGCATGCATGCATGATCTGGTACAACATGTCGGATCTTGCCGCACCTGACGTGCACATTCGAATGGAGGCGATGCTCACTCGCGCGTGCTCGCGCCGATCTCGGATGCACGGCCACGTCGTTCTCGGAGCCCGTCTTTGTGTCCGCCCAGTTGCAGTTCCATTTCGACATCGAGCCGTACTCCATTTGGATCAAGCGCGAGCAGAAGAAGTGGTGTCCCCACCTCTGCTGGACGTCGCTTGCCTTCTCCATCCCCCCAGCTCGCACAGCAGGTCCGTCCAGTCTTTGGATGTCCTGCGTGAGCTCTGCCGCGTGCAAGTAGTTGTCGTCCGCCTCCTCTTCCTGTCCTTCTTCGTCATCGTCCGTTTTGTCGTGGTTCCCCATGGCGGCGCCTCCGCGTTCCGCGTACCAGACAGGGTAGTCCAGCGCCGATCCAAGAAATCCGCGCGGACCACGGAGAAATCATGCTTCGTGTGTCGTTTTTTGTCACTCTGTTGCGGCCCCCCCTCCCCCTCCAGTCCGCCGCACTCGGTTCTTCGTGTTGGGCTGCCCGGGGCTTAGGGCTGGGCCTCCCTTGGTTGGAGAGGACGGCGGTGGCTGCTAGTGTACCCCAATTGGTTCTCGGGGTGAGGGTGAAAAAGCCTTCAGCATGATGGCGCGCAGAGAATGCTGCAATGTCGAGTCCGACCGACCCCCTCCCCCTCTCAGGGGCAACGATAGGGGGACATGGGCATAGGGGGGATGCATCGGCCCTCAATCGCCCATTGATCCCCGATAGGGGCCCAATAGACCCACCCCGCCCAGGAGCGTGCGGATTCGCCGTCGAGGGCCTATCGCCGATCCATGGGCGATCTATTGCCGATTCCAGGTCGATGCTTCCCCCCCTTGTGCCAGTCCCCCCCCATCGTTGCCCATCCCCCTCCCCCTCCCAAGGGCTCCGCCGAGGGCGCGAAGTTATTCGCGCTTCGCGGTCCTCGTTCCTCCCCCCCCCTCATCCTCGTCCTCCTCTTCTCCCTTTGGGAAGGCGGCGCGAGGGCGCGAAGTTATTCGCGCTTCGCGGAGCGCGAAGCGCGAAGTTGGGAGCCCTTGCTCCCCCTCCCCAGGGACCGATCGTGCGGTAAGGCGGCGCCCCCCCCCGGGACATCGCGAGGCATCGGGCCTGGACGCGCCACAAACCCTCCGGAGGGCACCCGCTTTTTTACCGACCCGGCGGCGATATATTCTTGGGGGACACGCCTACAGACGAGCGTGGGCGTCGCTGCCCTCCCCCTCCTCTTCTTCATCCTCCTCCTCGCGAAGAAGGAGGAACAGGATACATACAATGAGACAAATAATATGAGTAGTAAGAACAACTGATAACGGCTTAAACAGAAACTTTCGACGGTCGTCGCGGAGTTCTCTAGGATCGGCTTTGAACCCTGCCGCCAGCGCATCCAGGGCCGCCCCCCTGGCGCGCGCTGCGCGCCAGCGAGGGTGGCGTTAGCACCGATCTCAGAAATCCGGCCGGAGCGTCGCAAGTTTGTGTTTGTGAAGGTTGTCGTGCCTCAATCCTCCTCCTCCTCCTCCTCCTCCTCCTCCTCCTCCTCCTCCTCCTCCTCCTCCTCCTCCTCCTCCTCCTCCTCTCCTGGCGACCTATCCGCCGCGACCTGCAGCAGTGGCCTCTGCTTGGCCTCGGTTGTCGGCTGCACGTAAAAGAGTTGCCTTCCTATCCGTAGTGACCTTTGGTGCCCGGGTTCCTGCGGGCGCGGGGGGCAGAACCCCAGCACGCAAGCCGTCACTGTCGCATCGCATGTGACGATCAACGACCCGCGCACCGGTCAATCTCGCGTGTAGCCGAGGTTAGGCGACGTGGAGCCTCCTTCTCGGACGTGGAGTTCGTAATCGCGGAGGCGGTCGGGGGGCCCTGGTCTAGTCAGACCAGGCCCCCCCACGCTGGCACCCACCCTCGGACACTGTCCTTCTACGGGGGCGCGAGCGCGCTGCTCCTCCTCGTCCTCCTCGCCCGGCGCCGGGCGTGCCATGAGCAGGTTCCGATTCGTCCACCTCGAGGCCCCGGATTCGGAGAGAGCGTTTCCGGTCGGACGAAAGGGGGGGATTGGGGAAGGGGGGGTTACGAAATTTGCTGCATGCAGCTGGTTTCGGCCCCACCGAGGGGCCGATTCCTCGATACATAGCCGCCTCTGGCGCCGGGAGTCGCCGGGACAATCAGCTACGTGAGCTGATTCTCAACCCCCCCTTTAGCTATCCCCCCCTTGCGCGCCCGGCCCGAGTGTTGCTGGGTCGGCAGCGCTCTCGATCGGGCTTACGGGATGAGCTTTTCGCTGGGTGTTGCTTGGGGGTCCGAGTCCCTGGGGGCTCAGGGCAGACTAGAGGTCTGAACTTCGCGCGGCTTTTAAGGGGGGTCCTAGGGCAGCTTTATTGTTCACGAAGTGGATATTTTCGGACGGGGCTAGTACGAGGGTAATTCCTTTCCAGAGCATTCGCTCTGAGAGCGTTCCGGAACGCTCTAAGAAGGCCGCGGCGCCCGAGACATCTTCCAGAGCCGCCCAGATCTCAAATATTATCCATCCCCCGAATTTATCTTCGCCGTGGTTTCAACTTATCACGGAGTGTGTATCTACCCCAGTAGGCGTTTGATTTGCTCGCGCGGCGACCTCTCCGCCGCGACCTGCTCGCTTCAAGGCGAGCGGGGGCGCGAGCGCGGCGGGACTCGGCGGGTCCTTCCTGCGGTGGCGCTGCTCGCGACGCTCGGTGAGCGCGCGCGCGCGTCCAGCGGCCTCGCCACCGAATAAATCCACAGAGTCGAATCGAAACTCCGTCGGCGGGGGGCCCGGCGGGAGCCACCCCAGGGTTCCGTTCCGAACCGTCGGAGCACGCTCGGCCGCCGACCGACCTCGAGATTCGGCCCGCTCGGCTGCCGCACGCCCCGAACTCTCCAGACCCTCCGGGACCCGAGCCCGCTCGGCGGCCAGCTGGGCCCGTCCGCCGAGCGGGCTCGAAGGGGAGGAGGAGGAGGAGGAGGAGGAGGAGGAGGAGGAGGAGGAGGAGGAGGAGGAGGAGGAGGAGGAGGAGGAGGAGGAGGAGCCGGAGGAGGAGGAGGAGGAGGAGGGAGGAGGAGGAGGAGGAGGAGGAGGAGGCGGGGTCTGGGGCGGGCTCGACCTGGGCGTGGCCGCGCCTTGCGGGCGGCGGGCGGTACACGCGAGTGCGCGAGCGGCGGCCTGAGTCCGCCGTGGGTGTGGTGGGGCGGGCGCCCCACAGGTACGACTTCATCACCACCCTGATGGCGATGCTCGGGGCGCGCCCTCCAGCGCCGGGGGGCGCGGCGCCGCGCACGAGTCGGGCTCAAGAGACGGGGGTCAATGCAAACAGGGTTCAGCCAGGGCGCCAGATCCTGCAGGATCCTGCAGAGCCAGGGGTGCATTGACCCAGGCTCGGGTGCAGGATCCTGCAGCGGTTGATTGACCCGGTTCAGTAGATCCCCGACACGAGCAGGGAGGTAGACGGTACCCGTAGCAGATTTGGGCGACGCAATTGTTCGCCGCGGGCATCTCCAGATGTACATATCAGTTTTTGGCACGTCCCGTTGTGAACGTCTGGCCGTGAGCGTTTGGACGACGACGACGACAATGGTTACGATGACGGAAAGCGACGACGACGGCTCACAGACATACGAGGCGGACGGTGATCAAGCCCCCTTCCCCTTTTCCTTTCACTACTCGTCGCACCTTTTCCCTTCTATACCTCCGTCCGCCCTTCTCCCTCCTCCCTTCCTCCCTCGTCCTCCCTCCTCCGTCCTGGCGATTGTCCTTCTCTCTGCATCGAAGGGACCATTGGGCTCTAGAACGGACAGGGGTCGGAGGTGCAAAACCGAGAGCCTCGCTCGATACATCCCCGCCACCTTGCCGCCTGGGGTTTGGCACCAGCGCCTCGCTCGAGACATCGTCACAATCTGCCATGAAAGCAAAGGGGTCTGGGCCACCAGACAAAAAGAGCGCTCAAGATATCCCTACAATCTGGCCGCTAACGGGCCCCCTGGCTGCTTCCCCCTTCGGGTGTTGAAAACAGCGCCTCGCTCGAGACATCCTCAACCGCCTGAGACATCCCTACAAGCTGGCCGCGAACGGTCCCGTGAAATACCCCATGGTGGCTCCCCCTTCGGGCGCTGAAACCAGCAAATCGCTGAAGATATCCTCACCATCTGCCTTGAAAGCAGACACGTTATAGCCATCAGCCAAACAAATAACGCCTGATACATCCCTAGACTCGGGCCGCGAACCGGTACCTCTTGGCGGCTTCCCCTTGAGCTGCTGAAATCAGCAAATAGCTTGAGACATCCTCCCAATATGTTCCGAAAGAAGACAAGTCCAAGCCACCAAGTAGGCAAGCCGCCTGAGACATCCCCACAATCTGGCCGCGAACGGGCCCGTGAAATATCCCCTGGCGGCTCCCCAAGGGCAAGTGAGGTCTATCATGAGTCAGCCTGAGTGTGAGTGACCCTGAATGTGAGTGAGTCTGAGTTTGAGTGAGTCTGAGTATAAGAGAGTCTGAATGCGAGTGAGTCTGAGTGTGAGTAAGTCTGCGCATGGGTGATTCTGAGTGCAAGTGAGTCGGAGCATGAGTGAGTCTGAGTGCGAGTGGGTCCTACTGTGAGTCCGTCTGAGCATGAGTGAGTCGGAGTGCAAGTGAGTCCGAGCATCTCTGCGACGGAGTGCGAGTGAGTCGGAGTGCGAATGAATCTGAGTGCGACTCAGACGGAGTGCGAGTAAGCGTGAGAGTCCCAGGTTAGCCAGGCCGTGCGAGTCGGAGAGCCCCGCCCACCTTCCCGTCCGCAGCAGAAGGATGAGGTGGCGCTCGACTTGATTGAAGGGGCCCTGAGACACACAAATAAATACACACAGATAAAATGATTCCCCATATTTTCCTATATTTTTTGAGCTTTTGTCTTCCCGCCCAATTCCCATATTTTCCCATATTTTCTTGGGGATCGACGATTAATTGTGTCTGTGTGTTTCTTTCCCTCCTGATTGATGTTGGGGTTGGAACGCGCTCTCAGATCGGAAACGGAAGGCTCTCGCGCGCGGCCCGGCTTCTGCTGATTCAGCGAAGGGAGTATTGTTCGGTCCGCGGGATGGGCCGGAGCGGCAACATCTCCGACGGACGCGGCGAAGGCGAAGCGTGCGCCGTGCTGACACGGCACTGCCACTATCACTCTCGAGCTGCGCGGCTCTCGGGCGAGGCTCTGCATTGCTTCCCGTTCTCGCGCGGCCCCCCCTGCCGGGTGCCGCTGTCCTAGGGCGACGAGATCTATGCATATCCACTGCTCCTGGCCAGGCCAATCCTGGGCCCAGGAGCGGTGTATACGCCCTCCTGGCCTGGCCAGGGAGGCATATACACAGCTCCTGGGCCCAGGATGGGCCTGGCCAGGAGCAGTGGATATGTATAGATCTCGTCGCCCTGTGTCCTGCGCACGGAGCTTGAGGGCGAGGGCGACGTGTGGCCCCGCTGCGGGCCCCCGAAGAGTGTGGGAGCGCTCCGCGCCGAGGCGGGAGGCGCGCCGCGCCGAAGCGAGAGCGGCACTCTCTCGTCCGCTCGCGCGTCGACGGAGGCGCGTAGACCTTAGGCGATGCTTAAGAAAACTCGAATTTTCGGCCAGAGTCTCGATTATTCTTAATGTTTCAGTGTAAATCCTAAGATTTGAATCGAAATTCTGGGATTTTATTCACGTTCTGAGACTATGAATTTCTTAACCCATGATTTCTTAAGCATTTCGCAGGGTGTAGGAAAAGTGCGCGTCGCGCCCAGGCCGAGGCCCGTTTATCTAGAGAGATGGGCGCGACACCCAGAAGAAAGCGACATTTTGGCCTGACTCGCTGAGTGCTCGTCGCCTCCCATTCGTGCCACACATTTCTGCAGAGTTGGCGTCAGAACGCCCATGTGGAGGCAACAAAAAAAATGCTGCTGGTCCGAATTTTTCCTGACAGGTCGGATGGGACACCCTGGATCCGTCTGCTGTCGGCCTGCTGCGTGGTCGAGTCGGAGTATATGCGAGTGAGGAATCACGATGAGCGAGCCTGCGTGAGGAAGAGGACGAGTGGGGGGAGGGAGACGTGAGGCGTGGGCGGGCGGCGGCCCGGGACAGAAAAGCTTGCCCCAGGGAAAGGGTCGAGATCCCCGGGGGCCGACGTCACGAGCACGTGAGACGTCGGAAGCGAGGCTACTCCGGATCCCTTCTCAATCGACCCCCCTTGAGAAAATTGGACCCCCTTCCGCACGCACGCACGCAGGATCACGAGCGAAACATCTGCGTTGAGGCATGCAAGGCGAGATTGAACAATAAAATGGACCAGCGCAGTGCCTCGGCGAACATGCGTAGGATATTTTGTCCTATCGCAGGGCGAGGGTGGCGTTGCACCGATCTGGGACATAACGATGCCTCTTTTTTCAACCATGAGCCTATGCAATATTCACACAGCATCGCAATACGCTTTCACTGCTGTGCTTCAATTCCCAGCCGGCCTGTTAATCGATACTCGAGGCGGTGGGGTCATCTGCTGCTACTTCCAACGCACGAGCGTGCAAATATGTGGTCCATTGAAGTCGCGATCTCCCTCTGTTCCTGGGTGTCCGCCAGTCTCGCGGTATGGTGCCATACGCTTGCCCTTGCTGGAAAACCATTGCTCGGGGGAGCGACTGCGGCGGCGCTCTGGCTAGTTTGCCATAATGCTCGAGCTGCCGCTGCAATAGTGTAACGGGTAACGGACAGACTTGTGCCTGCGACCTCACATGAACATTGTTGACGCGTTATCAGAAAGCCAGCGGTATTTTCCATATTCTCCGTAAGCATGTTTCTTGCAAACCTTCTCCGCAGCAGGCGCCTTAATTTTCTTGTTCACCCCCTGGCAACATGAACCCGTTAATTAACAGACATGTTCCGGAGGGGCCATAGTAGAGAACATGCATCGCCAGCGACGGGTATAGGGCCGAGAAATGCGATGATGGTGGTGATGATGATGGTGACGGTGAGGGAAGCGATGATGACGATCATGATGAATTCGACGATGACGATGATGATGATGATGATGATGATGATGATGATGATGATGATGATGATGGTGATGGTGATGGTGATGGTGATGGCGATGATGCCAATGATGACGATGATGGGTTGATGACTAATTAGGTGACAAGATGAGTAGATGATGAGATGGTCGGATGATGATGATGATGATGATGATGATGATGATGATGATGATGATGATGATGATACTGATGATGATGATGATGTTGATGATGATGATCCTGCTTCGATGTTTGCTGATAAGGATGATGATGGTGTTGGTGGTGGTGATGATGCTGATGACGATTGGTAGTTGCGACCACGACGACGATGCTGATGATCATGATGACGGTGACGATGGCGATGACGATCATGACGATGATGATGTTGATGATGATGATGGTTCTGATGAGGATGAGGACGAGGATGAGGGTGATGAGGACGATGGTATTGATGATGAGGATGATGAGGAAAATTGCGGTGACGATCAGGCACCGCAGACTTGTGGTCACGAGCGCGAGCTTCGAGAATATCGTGCACGTATGATACGAAATCGCATGCGCAAAACGCACCCTGATGAACTGGACCCTCTTGAAGCAAGGTTGGCCTTGTCCGTGTTCGTTGTAGTTGTTTCCACAGATTGTTGGATCAGGCCCCGCGATGTGGACACTGCGACGTGAAGCATCCACCGAGACAGATCTCTTCCTCTGACTATCAATTCGTTTCTAAAGCAAGCGAATAAGGGTTGGCGGCCTCTGCGCATCTCCCCTGTCAGCGCGCCTGGCGCCGTCGGCGGGCCCGGCGCCCAGCCCCGAACCATGTGCCATTTATGTTTGTGTCGCCTTCGCGTTCCCTGGGTCCGTGGTCCTCCTCCTCTTCCCGCCGCTCCTTCGCACTAGTGCCTATTTCCCTCGGCCGAAGCACTTTTGTAGCTCGACCGCAAACCGCCGCAGATCAAACACGTGTTTCCCCCCCCCCGACCTTAAATCGCCCAGTGCCAGCTTCTTCGGTAACCAGACTACTCTGTCGGAGCCAACACGTTTTGCCTGGGCAGAACAATGACTGCAAGTTGCACTTGCGCGCGTACGTTTGCACATGTTATCTACTCCAAATCCATATTAAACGCCCCCCCCCTAAAATACCGGCCCCCCCCCTTCTTAGGCACACTAATACTCAGGCCCCCCCTCCACGGGAGGCGCCTTAATATTCCGGCCCCTCGGCTAGGAAAGTGAATCGTT